AAAAAAAAAAAAAAAAAAACTATTATTCGATAGCCTTAATTGCATGTGGACATGGCAATAAATCAACTTGGAAGCGAAGAAAAGTTCACGTCCGATTATTCAGATTGACAACATAATTATGTACCCCATCCTTGATTTGGTACACATGGTGACTTGTAGGGGAAGATACAAATTTCTGAGCTTGCGCTTTGTATTCCACCAATATCTTTGATATTTGAAAAGGAACTTCATCATCAATTTTCTCTGCCTCAATTCGCCTCTCGAGAAACCGTTGTTGCAAAATGTGTCTAATGCATTGAAACAAAGTACAAATTGGCAATCTCCGAGCCCAACACACCCTATTGTTGAAGACCTTACATGCGTTCAAGGTCATAAAACTATACTGTCTAACATGACATTGACTATGTGGCCATCTATGAGGCAATGCATTAATTAACTCACTCCCTTATTTCTCATGATCTTTCTTGAGCAGCGCCATTGATTTTTCGTGAACTATAAGGAAATAGTTGTAGGAAGCTTTCATTTATAAATTAACACTTCACGACCAAACTTTGAATATTTTTGATGTGGTATGTGCATAACACTTCACGACCAAACTTTGAAATATAATAACTGAATTTGATGTGACATACTAATAATAGATAATAGTTATTATTGATTTTTAGTTTAAAAATATATTAAAAGGATTAAGAAGATAAAAGATAATAAAAAAAAAGTTAGGTAAATGTATAATTTATCTTTTGATTGGAGAATTAAAAAAAAAAAAAAAAAAAAAAACTCATTTTGGAGTTGCAATACGAAACAATAATTTTAATTAAAAAAATAATATTCATTTAATCTCACTTTTAACTCTGAAACTCAACTAAAAAAATTGAAAAATAAAAATGAATTATTATATCTTTTAATAACAATTGCTATTCATCTATTCCTATATTTATAATTGCTAATATTATAAATTAATATTATACTATTTTTATATCACATTTATTTTAATTACTATATTTTTATTTTGATTGTATTGATAATTTCAGATTTATTTCATTTTCGATAAATAATTTTTTCAAATATTAATACAAAAACAACAATTAAAAAAAAAAAAAAAAAATTGAAACAGAAAGTGTGCGCTTATAGTTTCACTGCACAATCACATTTTGGGAATCGGCCATGGCAGGAGGAGAGAGCAAGCAAATAATGCGGCATTTCAGTTAATTCCGTTTTTAAGTGGTGTCCGTTCAATACCACATAACACTCTCTTCATCACAAGTGCTCCTCATTTGACCGATCCCCACTTCCCTAAATTTTCCGATCGTGAATTTCGTCGGAGGTTTTCCCCATTCGATTCGCTTCTGTAGGTATGTGCGAATGATTCCATTCATTTCTTGACCTTCTTTTGAATCGGATCGTTCATAGTTCGTTTAGATTCGTTTCTGTTTGCAGCTTCAGATACCTATGATGATGGACAAGGCCGATCCTTCCCAGAAGCTGCATAACAAGATGCGTTTATGGGAGTTTCCGGATCAGTATGTGGTGGAGCCCACTGACGGCTCCTCCGCTTCCCGTCTGGCGATTAGCCGACTCGACGGCTCCACAAGTCTTATTGGTATGTGTTTCATTTCTACTCGTCACTTTTCTGCTTTGATTTCTTAATCCCCATGTGTGGTGCGGTTTCTTGTTTAGCCTTGTATGCTACTATTTTCAGACGTGGTAATAGATTTCCGGATTCCTGATGAAAATCAGGATCTCCATGTAAAAATGTCTAGTTATGCGTATCGATTTCACGCGAAGTGACACAGAAAAGTGAAAAAAGAAATACACGATTTGTTCAACTTTTATGTTACGGGTTCCTTGGTCTTTTGAAATCACATAGATTTGATGGATCATACAACTTTCTATTTGATCATATCTTTTTGGTGGAAGAGTTAAAAAAGCAGTTTAGGTCCCTAATAATTTCAAGAAGAATCTCAAGTTCTCAACGCATGTTATCATATGGTTGTGCTTATAAGTATGTTGTTGTTAAAAAAGTAGTGTACGTCCCTAATTATTTCAAGAAGAATCTCAAGTTCTCAACATTGGGCTTATAATTATGCTGTTATTATTGTTAGGACTATCATTGATGTTTCTCATGTTGTACAGATGACATACCCCAGTTCAAGACGCTCCGTGTTCCTAAAATTCAGACAATATATGGTGTGGTAGGAATGCTCAAGCTTTTGGCAGGCAAGTTCTATTAATTTGTTAGTTCCTGTGGATGGTTTGTTGGAAATGACCTCCTTGGGTCTGATGTTTTGTTGCGTTCCTATCTCCTGTATTGGATTGAAGATTTAGTGTCTGAATTTAGTAGAATGAATTAAAAATCACATGTTCCTGCGTATAATGATTACTCTGTTTTACTTGAGTTTTGGTATCACGAACCATTTATTAGTGTGGCATGTTTGTGTTGTGAATGTGGTCTTTGGGATTATAAGACGAATTCTTTAGTCGGTAATAGGTATTATACTTAGGGGGTGAATATCGTTTTATCATTTGTAAAATTTTGAAGAGAAATTTCTCTTTGGTGTAACTTCTGTAAGCACCACTTCACCCTTTAAAACTAACTGCATCTGACTTGTTTCCATGGAGCTGTCAGACTTGTTACTTAATTGATTGTTAAAGCAACTGTATTACTTACATATATTGCAAATTCGGTTTAGTTGCATCTCCATGCATTCACTGTAATAAGTTCTTCCAGTGGCGGTGACAATAGATTCTGGATTAGATAGAGTTTGAGAGGAATGTGTTTGACGAAATAACATACTGTCAGAACTTGCTGTAATTTCATGAGTTCTGTAAGTTTTCTTTTCAGAGACTAAACTGTCATAAGATATCTTAACTGAGAAATAGAACATGATGAATCAAGACTGCCATCATTTGATTCGGGGAATAATTTGATTAGTAAATAATTAAATTGAAACATGTTACTTCAGAAACTTCATAGACTATTCTTATCTCTTAGTGTGAGGTGAGAGTATTACATCTAACATCCTTCCTATTCCCATTAAGAAACGGATAGTTGACAGTCAGATGCGATGTAAGACATTATTGAATGAAGAGTATTGATTTGGTTGACTTAGTAACTCTGTTGTTAAAGCTTGCCAAAAATACATTAGATTGCTTCTAATATGGATGAGTAATTGATTCTAAATTCTTCTATCTACCCACTTTCTGGAAAAAAAATCTTGTACTATCATTTCCGGCGAGCATGAAGAGAAAGGAATTGTTATACTATGAGTAGTTATGTTTTAATTGACTTCTATAAGTCCTAAATGTCTGCATATTCCATAAATTTGAAACAGATTATTCGCATTACAGGAACATACTTATTTGTGATAACTGAACGTGAATGCGTTGGATCTTATCTGGGTTATCCCATTTTCAAAGTTGTCTCAATGAAGGTTCTTCCTTGTGATCACTCTGTCAAGAATTCTCCAGAAGAACAGGTGTGCTATTTGCCACTTTCTCCATTTCTTGTTTGGAGATCATACATCGTTTCCAATGCCTTTTAACCTTTTTTGAGCAGAAAAAAATGGAGAGTGAATTTTCTCGCTTGCTTAGTGTTGCAGAAAAGACTCCGGGTTTGTATTTCTCGTATGATGTGAATATAACATTGAGGTGAGGCTTTTCTCATCATACGATAGCTAGTTATAACTTATCATTCGGATGTTGTTAATTCTTTTGATATAAGTGTGTTCAAAGGGGTTTGTCTTTAATTTTTAATGTATTATTCCCTTATATGCAAGTAACAGAAATATCACAGTTTAGTCCAAGATAACTTATGGTGGAGAAGCTTTACATTTTCTCAACATATTTTTAAACATGTTGTTGGGTAATTAGTTTCCTGGTGAATGCTTTTCTCTTTAATTACACAAATATCGGCATTTTCCCAATAGAATTGGTACATGGGTGATTGAGCTATTGTGTGCTTTGCACTTGAATAACTAATTCAGGAAGCGACTGACAAAAGTTAAACTTGGTGCTCTATGGTTTTTTCTTCTTAGTTAAATTGAAAGTCTTAAGTGAGATTGTCTAATATGATATTTATTATCATTGGCTTTTCTTTCTTTTAGTTTACAGATATATTCTCATCTTTCTTTCACAAAATCTTTCCTTAATCTTATCCACATACAGATTGTGATCCTCTAAGTTAATATTCTCCAACTTTTAGGCTTCAGAACAGAGCAAGCTAAACCAATCCATTTAAACTAGAACATGTAGTCTTGTAAAAGACTTTAGACATTTATAATCAAGGAGTTTATTATGTCTACATCCTCAAGTTAAAGTCTTACAACCACGTGAAATGCTATACCTGTGGAATTAGATGGAAACAGTAACTGTAATATATTTTCAACTGTGTGCAATAATGTTGCAGAATGATTTTGTGTATTTGTTGTTCATTAACAGTACCCCCAGTGATTGTTTCTGGTAATGTATTCACTTTATCACTTAGTTTAATTTGGGATTCAAGGCCATTTGCATAAAGAAGCATATTTTGGTGATTTTATAGATCAGTATAAAGCAGAAACTTTCTGTTTTATTGCAGTGCTCAACGATTGCATGATTTAGGAGATGAATCAAAAATGCTTCCTCTTTGGAGACAAGTATGTTGTCCTCAATTTAGTTGTATCTTGGGAAGATCTCAAACTGTCGTTTCCAGTCCCATAGTTGCTTTATTTAACAACACTGGAGAAATTATGAGGCTTTGTTTCAATGTGCCTAATTATTTAATAGTCAGTTTAAGAAGTCGACTAAATTTATCCACAGGCAGACCCTCGATTTCTTTGGAACAGCTACATGTTGGAAGTGCTAATAGATAACAAGGTTAGTTTTCTGGATAGTGATTTATATTCTCCTTGGAAAGTAACTTTTAGATTATCAATCACTAAATACGACCTTGTCCTTGTGTAGCTTGAACCGTACCTTCTTCCTGTCATGCAAGGCAGTATCCTTTGAATTCCTACTTTAAATTCACCTTGTGCTAAACTACAACTAGCATCACCTAACTGTTGTTCTAGTAGTTAAACCTTAACCCTAATCAGGTTTTCATAGCTTTCAATCTGCCATTGGGAAAGATATCCTTGATGTTGCACTGATTGCACGGAGATGCACACGGAGAACTGGTATGTTTGAAACTGCACTTTTTTTGAATCCTTATTCCCTTGCCCACTCCCCTTCAATTTTCAATTTGGTTTTGTGTCCTCAGTGCAGATTGATGCTATCTTAAACAATGACTATGTGAAGGCATTTTCTTGTTATGTTTCTCCTTTTGTTATGATTGTGTGAGATAGCTTGCTCATTGGCTGGTGACCCTGTTGTCTACCTTTGCTGGCAACTGGTCTTTCTTTTAATTACCTATCCTACGCAAGAACCCATGAACTCCTTCTCCTACTTGAGGGATGTAACTTCTTTATCTAAAGGTGTTAAATTGCATTATCTACTATTTCCAGTCACCTGTCAATTTGTTTAAAACGATCTCATAAAAATCAGTTTCGCCCTTTTTCTAAGGAACTGTAGTTAGACATATGATTTCTCTTCTGAGTCAACTATGCACCAAGTGTGTTTTTCTATTTGGTCATCCATATTTCATTTTTCTTTGGTTGTAAAAATCTGGATATGTACATGTTTCTGGCTCTTAACATATTCATGATGTGAGATGGGACTTATTGCAATTTGCATATATAAGAAGATGTAGAAATACCGTATTGGTTCATTGCATAACTGTTGACGATGCCTATTACTTGGTCTATTTCTTCATCTATTTTTACCAAATAGAATACATATTTTGATATACAACAACAACAACAACAACAACAACAACAACAACAATAACATACCCAGTATATTCCCAACAAGTTGGGGTCTGGGGCGTCAGTTGTACGCAGACCTTACCCTTGTAATTATACAAGGAGGCTGTTTCCGTAGCGACCCAAGGTGCATTGTGCCGTTTGATATATTCTTTTTTCTAGAAACTTCACTAATAGAAGAAGCACTAGAATTTAATTGAGTCATTTTGATCTAGTCCATTATTAGCACTATGCCAGGAGAATTGTCAACAATGACTCTTCCAGCATCAATTGCAATGGACAAAATTTTGACAGATTTTGATATAGTAGTTTAAATTTTGACCTTTTCCACTGTATTCTGTACTGTTGCGTTAGATCCATGCAGATCAGTTTAAGTGTTTTTTACTAACATTTGTCCTAACGTGGCATTGCACTGGAGGCACACGAATGTGGAGAAGAGGAGCTGATTCTGATGGTTTTGTTGCAAATTTTGTGGAAACTGAACAAATTATACAATTGAATGGTTACACTGCCTCCTTTATTCAGGTAAGCTTCTCATGCTCGTGTCAATTCCTATTCATCTGATATACAATTGGTAGTGTTTAGAGGAAATACCCTTGTTTGTCTACCTTAACAAGATGGTTCATGCTGCTCCAGTTACATAAAGGCTGACTAAATGGGTGTATTTTAGTAGTGCATCTGGTCACCAGAAAACTAAAATCATAAATTATATTAAATCACTGTCGTTGCAAAAAAGCTGAATAATTACTATACACCCCATTTATATTGAGGGTTATAGAAAGGTTCTGGTTCTACAGTACTTCAAATGACGTCTATCTTTGGCACCCCAACATGAACTTCAAGTAACTTTCTTGTTTCTAATTGTGCACAAAAATCTATTCGACCCTCACTACAAGGTTCGTAATTTGATTTCTATTTGGACATATAAAAAGAGAAGTACTATCTGAAAATCTTTTACATGTTTGCATCATGTCTGGAGAGCCCACAGTCCCAACAATATTATTAGAGTTGTTATGTTCCAATATAGTCAAAGCATGAAGCTGTTGCTCATAATATGGACCCATTTCATGTAAACTGAATTAAAAAAATGCATCTCAGAGCTCTCTGGCCATTCCCACTATTTAGTTGGTCTTTTTGTAAACTGAATGTCCTGTATTTATCTTGTATCAGCAGCCGAAGTCCTTTGTCCCATGTAATATAACTTGGATGATTTCTTAGGGATTGGATGTTAGTTTGCATTTATGCTCGACAAAAGCAACAGTGATTATCCTGTTTCTCACTTTGGGAATGTGATATTAATTTCATATTTGGTATGCATTTTAATTTCATGTTCTAGGTTCGAGGGTCAATACCTATACTTTGGGATCAGATTGTTGATTTGACATATAAACCAAAGTTCGAAATTGTGAGGCCTGAGGAAGCAGTAAGTAGTTTTCTGATCTTCAGACAATGCTGAATCTACCATCTTGTATCCTGATTGCTGATCTTCATTGTTCTCCACAACATCTCTGCAGCCACGAGTGGCTGAGCGACACTTTCTGGATTTAAGAAAGAAATATGGGAATGTTCTTGCTGTGGATCTTGTCAACAAGGTAGAAGAGTCTCCATTTGTGTAAAATTTTACATATTTCTGTCCCATCAATATTGACTACAATCAGATTCACTCTTCTAAATAGGCCTGGGTGGGAGCCCTGATTACTGTCAAATGGGTCCTTTTTCTAAGACCTACTATAATGCCCTCACCAAATTTTAGTAGTAACAGATTCTTCATATTGATGTCCTTTGTAAAACTACCAACTGTACTTGTTTCAAGGCTAAATCCATTGTATCTTGAGCTTCAGATGGACAATAGTTAAGACACAGCTAAACAAGAGAACTAAATCTAAAGGACAATTGATACTACTATAATTTCTGTTCAATTTTAGTGTCAGTTCAGTTATTTGATTTCATGGTAGTTGATATTTATTTGTGTTAACATCTTTCATGACCTTAACTCTGTTACTTCTTTCGTGCTACATTTTCTTATTGGTTAACTTAGTATTTTTGACTTTATCATCTGAACTAACAACAGCATGGAGGTGAGGGACGCTTGTGTGAAAAATTTGGTCTTGCAATGGAACCTATTGCCAGTGATGATGTGAGGTAGAGAATCAATCAATTGCATATATATATATATATATATATATATATATATATAT